TGGGCAGCTATAATAATATACTTACGGAGCACCAACTAAAAGTTTGCTGATTTTCAATACAAATCTCTCAAAAGACGTTTGAACAGGTCGAATAAAAAGACACCAAATAAATAAAAACGGATCAAACTACTACAGCGCCATCTTCCTCAGAGTCTGAAATAAGTCCTCTGTCAGTAAAAAAATTTTTATTTGCAATTTAAAATAGTGAAAATTAAATAAAACTAAAATGGGTAGACTCGCCCCTGGATGGGTAGACTCGCCCCGTTTACGGTAATGGTTGCATTAAACATATACCTATTAAAATTGACACGCACTTATTGTTGTTACTCAATAAAGATTCTTAATCGCTGCTTATACAGGATCTAATTTATCGTAATCTTAAGTAACTAAAACGTAATATAAACGTATAATAATAATTAAACTTTATTTCGTATTTTTAATATCAACATTATAACCTTTTGTATTACAACTTAACTCGTATTCTTAATACAACGTATTCTGATAATCAACAAACTTAATAGAACACCAAAATCATGTCTCTTTCTGTTACTAGATCTGCTTATGCTAACTTCAGTAATAATACAAGTTCCAACATAAATCTGCTTATGCTAACTTCAGTAATAATACAAGTTCCAACATACTCCCACCTTTTGTATTGCAATCAAGCTTAAGGCCTGGTTTCTTAGGACAGGACGCCGTCAGCTGGAAATCAGCGCTAACCTCTGATTGGTCCATTTGTGAGTTTGATAGTATACGTCATCGAACGCTCATCTTGAACTACAATTGCCGTCCAACTCAACTGCAGTGGGATTACAACGTGACGTTAACCACANTAAACATATTTATAAACACTCTATGAAAAACAAGTATTTTAAAGTCAGTCGTCCTAGCTTAAAATATAAGCAGTCTACAAGTCAAAACGTTGGCGTGAAACCAATTTTCGACCTCTACGAGTCAGTTTCACTGGTTGGGAAATCTCTGTCATAGGAATGAAAGTCTCAGCACTAGGACCGAGGGGTCCTGGGACAGGAGTTGCTGAAGACTTTAAATCACCAGAGTCGACTTCGACCTGTTTATCTTTTTCATTTGCTGTTGTGTCAGATGGAAACTCACTGACAGACATTTCGAGTGGATACAGTCTCTGCAATGGTAGCCATTAGCAACTCGTAATTTCGCTACTCTTCGTATTGCGTCCTTGCCAGTAAACAGTTGGACAACACAACCCAATGGCCAGTTCAGTCCCTCGCATCCAATAAGAACCATTTCTCCTACAGAAATTTCCTTCTGCTTTGACCCAGATCTTGGGTTTCGCACAAGTTCACCTAAATATTCCATTTTGGAAGCGTTTTCGCAAATTTTCACGCAAACCCTTAAGATACCCCACTCTTTTCAGTAAATGCCTGGAGTTGACAATGTCCATGTCATGCGCCTCTGATCCTCTTATGTCCTGTATGAAATGAGCTGGTGTTATTGGTGTCATTTCACTCGGATCTTCTGAAAGGTAGGCGAGTGGTCTCCCATTGATGACACTTTCAGCCTCGCACAACAACGTGAGCACTTTTTCGCACGTCACGCAAGCCCTTTCCAAGCACTTTCGCAAAACTTCTTTGACACCACGGACCATTCTCTCCCACCATCCACCATACCATGGTGCGGCAGGTGGGCTAAAATGCCATTTGATGTTTTGCAAGGCAAATTGAGATTGCAATTCCTCCCAGTTCAATGACTGAAGGGCTCGTGCTGTTCCAGTGAAGTTCGTCCCGTTGCCCGAATACATTACCGAGCACCTCCCTCTTCTTGCAAAAATCTTCTCATTGTTTGCATGAATGCTTCGGACGACAATGATGTAACGAGCTCCAGATGAATGGCTCTATACACCGCACAAGTAAATAAAACAATCCAAGCCTTGATACCTTGACGTAGTTGCAAAGGCCAGGCCAAATCTACACCCGTGATTTGAAATGCAGAAATGCGTTTTGTTCTATCCATGGGTAGATGTGATGTATCTGGTTGTACTGATTTACTTGAGTGACGCTTGCAGACCACGCATTTGATTATGACTTCACGAACTACCCTCCGACCGCGAGGAATCCAGTAAAGCTCTCGAATGCGGTTCAGAGTTGTTTGAACACCACTGTGCATCATGACTTTATGGACATGGGCAACGTACAGTCTCACGATAGGACGATCGGGTAATACTGTTGGTCTCTGGAATTCTTCTGGATCTTCACCCAAAACCAACTTACAAGGGAAACTAGGGAAGTGTGACTCGCCAATTTTGAAATAAACTAGTGGAATGTATGCCTTATGAGGAATAATTTTAGGGGGCAACATTCGTTTCGGCCCATAGAAGGTCCTGTGAGAGATAAAAAGTAATTCAATATGTAGGTAAATCGGTATTTTATTACTTCAATGCAGACTATTAGTTATTGTAATTGTCTCATACTCCAATTAGTTTGTAATTAATTGGATAATTAATTAATTTGCTAATTAGTAAATTAATTAACATTCGTTTCGGCTCATGGAAAGTCCTGTGAGAGATAAAAAATAATTCAATATATAGAAAAATCGGTATTTTATTACTTCAATGCAGACTATTAGTTATTGTAATTGTCTCATACTCCAATTAATTTGTAATTAATTGGATAATTAATTAATTTGCTAATTAATGTATCAATCAGAAAATTAATTATTAATTAATTGTTAATATCCTATTATTTAATTGTGAATTAATTATTAATTGAATTGCAATTACATACTCCAACTAATTTGGAAAGTTTTCTGGAAAAAAAATTAAAAATATTTGATGTAAATTTTTTTTTCTAAATTAACCTGACAGGTTTTTCTGAAAAACTACAGATATATAAAATTTTCGAAATCAATTTCGACAATAAATATGCATTATATAGTACGTGAAAGTACCACAAAATTAATTGGAGTATGAGACAATTACTATAACTAATAGTCTGTATTGAAGTAATAAAATACCGATTTTTCTATACATTGAGCTATTTTTTATCTCTTACAGGACCTTCTATGGGCCGAAACGAATGTTGCCCCCTAAAATTATTCCTCATAAGGCATACATTCCACTAGTTTATTTCAAAATTGGCGAGTCACACTTCCCTAGTTTCCCTTGTTAGTTTCAATCTTTAAGACTTCAGACTCTTCGTAAAATCGGATTGACTTCGAATATTTTTTCATTAAATCAGGAGCCTGTTCTTTTTGGACCAGTTTTTTGACGGCAAGTTCTGCATTCTGTATTTCTGCACTTGTTAACTCGGATGCTACTCGTATAGACTTATTTATGGAAAAGTACAGAATTATTATTGGAAAAGTACAGAAGCTTTTTGCTGAAGTTTTCCTGTAAGTTGATATTGACACTGGAGATGACACATTTCTTTCTTTTAACCAAAGCTTCTTCAGGCATTGTAATCTCAGTATGTGGCCAAGTGTTCTCCACTTCCTTTAACCAGGCGGGCCCCTCCCACCATCGACTTTATATCAACTCCTTCCAATCGCAAGAGCGAGACGGTAGGTCGGCAGTATTCATAGTTCCTGGTACAAATCTCCAACTGTTAACATCTGTGAGCTTTCGTATCTCTCTTACACGGTTACCGACGAAAGTATTCCATGGTTCTCCCTTCATTATCCAACTAAGGACAACCATTGAATCGACCCAAAAACCATTCGCAAAGGCCGTTGTATTGCCTCAAGAGCGGTACATGCTAATCTTGTACCCATTGCGGCTCCAAGTAATTCTAAACGGGGAATTGTTGGTCTCCTCATTGGGGCTACTCTGGCTTTAGCAGAAATTAACTGGATAGACGTGTCTGTTTCCTTTTCAGTACGTAAGTATACACAGCAAGCATAAGCGTCTGCAGAAGCATCGGTAAAGACATGCAAGCTAGTGCTCTCAATAGATCCTTGCATCAATTGTCGAGGTATTCTGCGCAGTTCTATGAGATCAACATGTTTCGTCCAGTGCTTATATCGTTGCTGAATATCTGGAGGCAATTCTTCGTCCCAGCTTATCTTGTTTTTCCAAGCTTCTTGAAGCAATAATTTCGGTAATAATGTTGCAGGTGATGTAAATCCAATTGGGTCGTATATGCTGTGGACAATAGAAAGAAGTTTTCTCTTTGAAAGTACTTTATCTTCTGAGAAAAATGCTTGACTACCAACACAATAGAGTTCATCCGTATATGTATTCCATTTTAGTCCAAGTACATTCTGGTCTTTCTGTTTTTGCATTCCATTGAAGGCCCAACATCTTAATTTGAAGGAACCTTTTCTCATTATTTCCATAGCTTGTTATCGCAGTTCTTCCCGCTCTTCGCAGGTATCCACACTCGTGACTAAGTTGTCAACATAAAACCCTTCTTTCAGACGATTGATAGTTTTTTCTAGGTTTTTTGTTTGGAATTCCTGAGACTCTAGATGGAAGTTAATCGTGGAGTTCAGAAGAAATGGTCTTGACGAAACACCAAAGACAACACGGCAATGTCTGTAGATTTTCAGCTTAATATGCTCCTTGTCTTCCCACCAAAGGAACCTAACGTAGTCTCTATCTTCGGGAGCTAAAGACAGTTGCAGAAGTGCCTGCTTGATGTCTGCAATCACTCCAATGGCACCACAACGGAATTTACTTATTAGATGAGGTATTTGATGTAACAGGCTAGGTCCTGTGCTTAGGCATTCATTCAAAGAGGCATACCCCGGACGTTTGTATGATGCGTCAAAGACCGGTCTGATCTTAGTAGTAGAGCTTGACAATTTTATAACAGGATGATGTGGTAGGTAATGACAAGCTCTAGAACTTGATATTTCGCTTCCCGTCACTTCCTCTATGATGTTGTCATCCTTCCATTGCAGCAAAACATTTTTATACAGTTCATAGTTATTGTCTTTCAAAAGACGCTTAGAGACCGTACGTAGTCTTGCTTCAGCCTGGTCATATCCCTCATACAGGGGAGGATGTCCTGTTAGCCATGGAAGTGCTACCTCATACCTGTCACCAGATTTTTGAATTGTCTCTTTGAAAAAAGTTACGGCTTCTTCGTCTAGCTCCTTAGTTGTTTTTCTTTCAGTGGGATCTGTGATTCCCAAGGACTCTAAGTCCCATAGCTTGTGTACTTCCGAAAGATGCATACTTAAGGATACCATATTTATAGCGCTTTTCTTTCCTTGGCCTAAAACGCTCCATCCGAGCTTCGTCTCTATGGCTGTGACTCCCGACGGCAAAAATTCTATTCTTCCTGTCAATATTCCTCCTAGAAAATCGGCACCAATCAGCATCTCAATTGGAGGAATCTCTGGACCAACATCGGTAAGCTCAATACCTCGAGACTTCAATTCTCGTATCAGATTTGGGTCACGTATGCGAGGTAAAGATGAACAAATCTTGGGCTGATCCAAAACTAATATGTTGTATGAAAAAGTTCTATTGATGCTCTCAACAGTGATGGCGTAGCGACCATGTCTGACTTCGGAAGTTTGCGTACCTCCAAATAATCCTTGGGACAATAACTCTGTTCCTGAAGGATTTAATCGTAACTCTTTAACTAAATTTTTTGTTAAGTATGATCGCTGTGATCCGTCATCCAGTAAAGCTCTAACGTAACGTTCTTGATTTCCATTTCTTAAACGTAGCAACAATGTTTTCAAGTATATTACCCTTTGAGGCATAAGTTCCGTAAATAACGTAGACGTATTCATTTCCACTCTTGATTCATCGGAAATTTGAACCTTATTTTCTTTAGGCAGTTCCGGACACAAAATTACGTAGTGTCGCCTTCCACACACCAGACAGTGAACGCTACTGCGACAATTTTTCGCCAAGTGTCCAATCTTCAAGCATACCAAGCAACAGCGTTTACGTAGAACAATTGATTTTCTTTCTTCTGGCTTCATTGAGGCAGCCTTATGACAGTCTTGACTGGCATGTCTTTTCTGACAAAATATGCACTCAATCTTACTGGACTTTTCAAAGGAAGATGTTAAAGTCATTGCTGTTGGTTCTTCTTTGCTAGAAGATTCCCTTTTACTTTTTGAAGGCTGTCCAAAAGCCTTTTCGGCTAACGCCCGATGCTCTTCCCCTTCTACCTCGCGACGAAGAAAGGACATCAACTTTTCTAACAATTTCTCTTTCGTAAGTTGAGCTGTCTCTTCATCCTCCACCTCAGTTTTTAATGAAAATCTATCCCAAGCCTTTAATACATCACTTGGAAGACACGATTCAACAACTGGGTATAACATGGCAGCATAGTTTTGAGTAGTTCCCCCCAGCGTTTCTAGAGCTCTCAAAGATGAACCGAGCTTATCGTACAATTCAGAAAGCTTAATGTTGGCTCGGTTGTTTACCAGGGTTAAAAGATCCCTTATAAACACGTCTATTTATAAATCACGTCTGCCAAACCTTGACTTGAGATGCTTGATAACCTTAATGTAATTGTTCTTAGAAGGTGGATAGCTTTCTACAAAACTGCGAGCTTTTGAACTCTGCTTCAAAGATGAAAGAAGATATTGAAATTTATCTTCCTCTCGTATACTTGCATCTTCGTCGATGCGACTAAATTGTGCCCCAAAAGGCAACCCAAGTACGTGGCACTAAGTCGTATTCTTTTAATTCTATCTTTGGAAGTCTCAACTTCCCAACTGGCTCTGTATCAGATAGTACAGAATGACTCTTATTTACTAGAAAGTAGTCTTCGTACTCAGTTTTTATTTCGATAAAGCGCTCTCTATAAGTTTCAATTTCATCATAGTCTTTATCTGATTGATCACTTAATTCTGGTATTTGACGATCAACTATGAATAAACGCTCGGCTTTATCTGCTAACTTATTAAATATTGAGGAAAACTCCTTACCCTCGACTTTTTCTTCTTTCTTTTTCGTATCAAACTTATTACAAGTCGTCGTAAATTTTCTTCGTAAATTTGTTCTTTCTTTCCGTAATTTCTCAACCTTGTCGTTTCCTAATGCAACCTCTGCATCTTTTGCTTTCGCTTCGTCGTCAGACATTTTAGTTCGTTCAAAATCAACGGACGCCATTTTGTTGTTAGTCAATAAAGATTCTTAATCGCTGCTTATACAGGATCTAATTTATCGTAATCTTAAGTAACTAAAACGTAATATAAACGTATAATAATAATTAAACTTTATTTCGTAATCTTAATATCGTATAACATGTCAACAAACTTAATAGAACAACAAAATCATCTCCCTTTCTGTTACTAGATCTGCTTATACTAACTTCAGTAATAATACAAGTTCCAACATAAATCTGCTTATGCTAACTTCAGTAATAATACAAGTTCCAACACTTATAAAATACTATGAAACACGTTTGGTTTTCCTTGGTAACTTTGAGATTAATGTAAAAAGTTAAACTCTGCTATAAAAATTTAAGCTCGATTAATATTATATCAAGTCTATTATTATTTTCATTTTCAAAAATATAATCGTTGCAATAAACTACCTCTTTGGCAATTTTTGGATTAATATTAAAAGTTAAGCTCCAGTAATATTATTTATAAAAGTTAAAGCTCTCCCAATATTATTTCAAGTAATTTATTATTTCAATTTTCGAAAATTAATACGATAAAACAAAATATTTATTTTTTGCATATTCATTTTACTTAAAAATGTCAGCAGTTATTTCCTTAAACAAACGCTAATAATGACAATGACATAAATAAATCTTAAGAAATTTATATTTCTCATAAATCAAGAAGTTAACGATATCAATCATTTTCCAAACAATTAATTTTAATCCTGATAAATGAAATCTCCAAAACAATCATGCAAGTCATATTTTCATTTGTCGTAATTTCATCGATAAACTAGATTTGAATGAAGTACAATAACAATAACACCACATTTACTGTAAACTAGAAATTATCTTGGGAAATTTTACGAGTGAATTTGAAGATTCCAACGTTGCAGGTGTTATAAAATTATGACGGAGCTATGTTGTAATTTGCTTTTCCTCGCATTTTAGAATGTATTGATGTAATATTTTGCTACATTTCATTTTAAAATGAATGTTCATTTTTTCAAGCATTGAACGCCAACAAAAACTATTTTAAGCCTGTATAATTTTAGAACTTTTGAATCATATTTAAGTTGAAAACGCTCAAAGGTGAGTAAAATTCTAATTATAGTACTATGTGATTATAATTTCTTATTTTATTCAACATAAAAGTTTAAGCAAAGTTTCAATTTCGTAAAGCAATTTTTTGAAAAAATCCTTTACCTAGATGGTAATTAATAATTTGTTTCATAAACACTTCGAAGTGTATATAATAATTTTGTTGATATGTTAATAATTTGTTTCATAAACACTTCGAAGTGTATATAATAATTTTGTTGATATGAATCAACTTAGAAAAAAAGTTTAAAAAAAAGAGATAAAAGTTATAAAAAGTAAAAAAATAAAGCAACATCTTATTAGGAAATAGGCTGAGCGTCCAAAAGTTTTGTGACCATCGGCATGATGGTGGCAGTGTGGTTAGCAATATCTACCGATTCGCATGGATTTCAAACTGCGACCTGGGATAGAACCCGAGATCTTCACGATGGTGGCACGGCGTCGCAAACAATGAGACATAATGATTAAAAAGCTTAATTTAGAATAAAACTTTTTAAAATTTTTTTGGTGCACATTATTTCTTAACGCAATTCCATTTTGAAAACGTTCCACGCACTTAATTATTTTTTCAATTTCAAAAAAATATTTTTCTTAAAATACACACAAAATTTTTAATTAAAAAGATCATGTTTTTAAATAATTTGAAAAAGAATAATTAAAAATAAAGGAGAATAATTTAAAAAAAAGGTGTTAATATAAATATAGGTGTTAATATTAGTAAAAGATGTTAATATGTATTAATAAATTGAATAATTTATTTCTCTCTTTTTTTTTGAAAAATCATTGAGAAATTTCTTGTTGCTCGTTTAAAAGGAAGTAAATTTTGATATGCGTTTGAAAAAAAAAGAAAAAGTTAAAAATTTGCCCTGAATTAAATAGGCGTAGCTTAAATTGCTTATTTCTATTGTGATTCGCGTCTTCAAAAATCTGAAAAACTGATAGCAAAATTCCTATAAGAACATGGGAAAACTGACTTTTTTACTCTCTGTTTTAAAAACAAATATCTCTGTAATGGAATCCCTGAGAGGGATACTTGTTCTAAGAATATTAATTAAGATAAAGCAGTTTTCAAATATTCATACAGAAATTTTACTACCAATTTCTTAGTTTCTTGCGGATGCTGGTCATCTTAATATTTCGAAAACAGGCATTTGATTCATTATTTTAAGCTACTGTTAGGACCATTTAAAGTTGGCAATACCCATTTCACATTCAAAGTGACAATTTAAAGCACATTTAAAGTTGTCATTTAAATGTATTTTTTCTTGATTAAAAAAAAATCAAAATATCGTAAACCGGGGCGAGTCTACCCATTTTTTCAGTTTGTCAACTTTCAAGTGGTCAAACTTTTGTAAATATTAAAGAAAAAAGGCTTTTAATAGGTGTTTCGGAATCGCTATTTATCCCTCTTTAAAGCTGTGAAATCGATTTTAGAAAATATTAACAGTTACGCTGTTACTGTATATTTTTATAGAACTGCTGACAAATCTCTCGTATGGGGCGAGTCTACCCATTCTACTAAAATGAATGTTAACATTGTAAATAATCAAATTTTACTATTAAATTGTTATTTTAGTTACTATATAGGATATTTATGAAGTAAAATTCATAACTTTATTATATATTCCATTTTTTTATTCATAAAATAACACAAATTGAGTATTTGATCGATTATCACATTTTGATCACAGTTTTGTTTTTATAATCATTAACATTATAAAATAACATTTTTTTCTGATTATTGTTGATAAAAATAAATTAAAATTAATATTGTTATTGTTTGGCTTTTATCCTTTGGATAGCTTTTTCCATCTCAGGTGGCATTTTTTTGTAACATTTAAATCCATTTGTTTTGCGAATATAATTTCGAACCATCTGTAATAATAAATAATAATTTATTTAACTTGCATTAAATAAAAAAAGTTAATTTTGTAATATAAAAATTGAAAAAATAGGTAAAATAAACATATTTTATATTTACATTTATATTTAACCTATAAATTTTCTTATTAATGATAAATTTATCAATGCAGAATTAAAATAATATACTCAAATTCATTTAAAATGACTTAATTTTAATATAAACAAAGTTCTAAATTATATTATTATGCTTTATTAAAACTAAATACGAATGGGTAGACTCGCCCCGCGAATTCTGGCTTTTTGTTTACAACAGCAAAACTTACATTCTTTTTTTTTTTTTTCATATAAAATTAATGTAATCTTAGTCTTAGATAAGTTTATCACTTAACCAAAGTGAAAATAGTAATAATAATAATATACTTACGGAGCACCAACTAAAAGTTTGCTGATTTTCAATACAAATCTCTCAAAAGACGTTTGAACAGGTCGGTTAAAAAGACACCAAATAAATAAAAACGGATCAAACTACTACAGCGCCATCTTCCTCAGAGTCTGAAATAAGTCCTCCGTCGGTAAAACTTTTTTTTATTTGCAATTTAAAATAGTGAAAATTAAATAAAACTAAAATGGGTAGACTCGCCCCTGGATGGGTAGACTCGCCCCGGTTTACGGTATTTATTGAATAAATCAAATTAAATAATGATTATCAAATGCATTGATTTGTTATCAAAATATCTTTCTTTATTATTATAGGGAAATTCTCATTTTAATTAATATATCCAAATATTTATTCTTCGTAATCCCATCAAGATTCCCGCAAAAAATTTCATATTGATAAACTTATTCAAATATTGTGTACCAATACAGACTTATATCATTACCAATGTATAGTTTTATAATCTGTAATAAAGTTCGTATGCAAGATGTTCAATTAGGGCCGTATCTGCTTTCTTAATTTTCGAACTGCTTCAACTAAGTTTTTAAATAAGGTGTCTGGATATAGTAAAGTGGTTATGCTCTACAAGATCAGTTTACGTAAAACTGTCATCTGGTCGTAATCGTATAAATGGCATACCTATCTTGTTAACACATCGGCAGCAGGAAGTAGGACGAAGTGAATTATTAAGTTATAGTCCACAACTGATTTATTATCAATAAACAATATCGTAGACCTCAACACTATAGAGACACGGCTGGAAAGACGAAAAAATGAGAGAGCCAAAATAGTACCTCTAACGTTTTGATCTGTAATTAAAAAACTACCTCACTAAAAGTATTGAGTATTTCAGACTTTTCATTATTTGGTCCAATTTAAGTCCAAGTTAAGTAATCATTTCTCTGTCAGTCTTATAGGAACGCATACATAAAGCTTAATATTACATAGAATGATGGGAAGGTCCACTGTTGTCCCTAAGTTATTTTGATTGTTCCCTCTTAACCACAGGTAAGTTTAGTTGTAAAGAACATTCTAGAAGGGTTAAAGATACCTCAGTTTCTTTCAAAAAGCAAGAGTATTTCAACATATCTTCAATTGTTACTTATAGAGAAAAGGAAACTCAATTATGTTAAAGCATAGTTGAAAAGTCAGTATTCCGTCTAGTCAAATATTTTGGTTGATCAAAGCGAATAAAATACACTAGCATTTTAATGACTGAGTCTCTCATTTATTTTTAAAATTAATTATGATTATGTTTTTTGAATTTGGATTTCTAAATGATATAAGCACTATCAATCTGGGAAGAACCAGACTGGCCTCTTTAAACGTTCTAGGTATACATTAGTTGTCAGTCTTTCTAGTGCTATCAGTAAAAAAAGAATACTTAAAACATGCATTTGTTTCTTAAGGACAATCTACACTGTAATATGAAAAATTTATCGTAGGAAAAATAATATTAGTTATCAAAGATATCTCTTTTTTTACTTTATTTAGCCATCACTTTCATAAATATCACTGCAGCTATTTGCAAGTTCAGAGAACGAATACAGCTTTAAGTAGGTCCCCTTTATTTGATAAAAATAATAAAATATTTCATCAGAGAGTTTTTCAGAATTTATTACAATAAAAGTCTTTTTATTTACAGATTGTCTCAGAAAAAAGGCATTGAAAGAATCTTTGCAAATGCTCTGTTGGAACAGTAAATCCTNATTTGATAAAAATAATAAAATATTTCATCAGAGAGTTTTTCAGAATTTATTACAATAAAAGTCTTTTTATTTACAGATTGTCTCAGAAAAAAGGCATTGAAAGAATCTTTACAAATGCTCTGGTGGAACAGTAAATCCTATGCTCTACCAAGTTTAGAACAAAAAATCAAAGCCTTAGTTACAACTGAAAAAAACACGTTCGAAGTTTTCAAAGTACTACTGCTAGCAATAATTTCAGGAGTATTTTACTCCTGTACAACTGTAGTAGTCAAATACGTCGATAATTTAGATCCTGGACAACTGTGTCTTTATCGCCATGTCGCAATTTTATCTTTAAATCTTCCAGAAGTTATCAAATGTCGCCAAGCAATCTTTTTGCCAAAAAATTTCCGTGTGCTACTAATAATCAGAAGCATATGTTCGGCAACGCATTTATTGGTCAGTTATCATGCTTTTCGCCGCTTACCACTTGCAGAAGCGAATGTGATTTTATTCAGCATCCCTGCCTTTGTAACCGTGGCTGCGAGGATTTTCCTAAAAGAACCATGTGGAATATTCCAATCTATATCTGTGCTCTTCACTGTAATTGGCTTAATTTTTACTGCCAAAATTCCCAGTTACTTTTCTGGCTCATCTATTGTTCATTCAAAGGAATACATACAGGGTCTTATATTTGCTTTCTCGGGAATCCTCCTTAATACCGCTCAAGTAATACTCTTAAGAAAAACGAAAGAAGTCCACCATGCAACTGTCTTATCCAATTTGGGTATCATAGCCATCATTGAACTAACTTCTGTTACTGCGATCTTTGGTGATTTCAAGTGGAATGTGTGCGGATGGCAGAATCTGTACATAATTATCCTTGGAATATTTAGTTACTTAGCTCACGCATTGCAGATCAGAGCTATCCAGTGCGAATTTGCTGGACCAGTCTCAACTGTCAGGGCTGGGTCAGATATAGGATTGTCCTTTATATGGCAGACAGCTGTGTTTAAAGTAATTCCGGACACTTTCAGCATCATAGGAGCTTTGTTAGTTATGGTATCCATGTTTTTGGTTGGAATTAGGACATGGGTGTCCAGTCTACCGAATGATTCTCCAAAATTGAAGCTCTTAAAATGGATATTGAAGTAAGTTTCAAGAAACTTGGCGCTTAATACTTCTCTGGCTCACCTATTGTTCATTCAAAGGAATACATAATGTCGCTCAAACTTACTACAACTTTAGTGTGGTGCCACCATGATAGTTTAAGTTAAATGCAACCTTAGTAATGTGTTACATTGACCATTGTTTACGTTCAAGTTATACTGTATCGCGAAATCAAGTTTAAGAAGGATTAAATTATTTAATATTACATTTTACCCGTTAGATAATGTCATACTAAAATTACCCATATCAATACTATTAGAGGTTTTTTTGCGTGGTGAACCGTAATATTGTTCAAATTTACTACTTCCTTGATATGGTGCCAAGTTGCACCATGTAATTGCAATTTTTAATGATTTCCGGATGATAAATTGCTTAGGACCAGGATTAGGGCTGGGCTATAAATCGATGCATTACGAAATATAGATTTAAAGCATGTATCATCAGGCCGATATAATGACTTTCGTTTTTGGCGATGCATCAGAAATCTGATTTGTTGGTATAAGACAACGCTTGCGGTTTAACGGTAAACATGTAAGGATTAAACATGAGAGGATTGTTTTATTTACGCTAACGCTGTCATCGGGCTGAGAAAGACGATTTTCATTTCGTCAAGCTACGAAGACAATGTTAGTTTCGTGATGTTGAATGAAGAAGAGCGAATTAAATCAGAACTCCTGGTTTCGTGCGAGGATCAGCATTGAAATAAATCGCCATACATAGTTTCCTTATGCGCCATTTTCGTCTTTGGGATTTCACTTTACTTGAAGATTATTTTCAGCTGGATTTACGCTATTTTGTGATCTCTGTGCACTCTATTTCGTCGGGATTTAACGTTTCTTGTAAATTATTTTCAGTGAGACTTAGCGATAGTTTCGTTGTGCATTATTTTGTCTGTCGGGATTTAACATTGCTTGTCAGTTATTTTAAGTAGACACTCTGTTACTTTGCAATGGTCCTTATCCTAAATTTTCGTTCTGAACTCAATCTATTAATGAAAAAAAAATTGAATAAAAAAAAGATTCTTAGTTTTTTTTTAAAAAATGATTGTTTCTCATTTTAAGCAATGCAATTTAATAGGGATATTTCGTATTTAATTTTGATATAAAAAGTTTTCTTCTTCTTTGTTTTGTAAATATATTATAATGCATGTAAGTATAATAACTTGATGGAAATTGATTATTTTTAAACCAATAAATCTTCAGTCGTTTTTAATTATAAAAAAATTTGACTATTAGTTGAAACAAATATGTTTTTTAATTGAATAATAAGTTAAGCAATGTTTTGACGCTTTTTAATAATTTAACAATAGTACTTTAAAGTATATATTTTTTTTAATTTTTCCAAAAATTCTTTCAATATTTGTCTATATTATATAAAACGCTAATACGTACGTATGTATGTATCAATAAAACCGATGATATTTCTTTTCTCGCGCTGGCAACAGTTTTCATTTTTAATTGATTGGATTCGGCGCGCAAGAGCACGTAGTGAGCAACCAGATAACAATAACCAGAGTGAGCATTATCAGGTTGTTCAATTCAGATTCATGCACTAAAAACATGACAATATTTAATTTAAACTCAATTAGGAATTAATTAATTAATTGAAGTGAGAATGCTTTAAAAGGCCGCTGTTGAATTGATATTTTTCTACTGGGAGCTACCTAAACGTCTAAAAAACGTTTAAGTGTTTGTATTGAATGCATTGAATTTTTTTATATTTCGCGTTTATTTATGCATTGAATTTTCACGCTTTAAAATGCAGAATATTAGTGAAGCAATATTTGATAATTTATTTTGCTAATATGTTTCTTATTTAGCTAATGTTTTGATTTTTTCACCATGTACAATCTAAATAGCTAATATACTTTTTTAAAAGCCAATAAGAACATTGGTAGAATTCTTCTACATAAGTACAATACTATGTCTTTGATGATAAAATACTATGTCTTTGATGATAATATATTATGTCTTTGTGCTAGAATATTGTGTTCATTGGCGAGCGAGCGCAGCGAGCCATGTTTCACGGCGTGAACCACATAGGATTGCGCAGCTATTCTCGGGGGTTGGCGAGCGTTAGCGAGCAGGGGGCGGAGCCTCCTAGTTTGTTTTATAATTTGTTAAACAGTCAGTATCATTTTTAAACAAATAAATCCTTAGTCGATTTCATTTTCAAAAAATGGAATATTAAATAAATAAAAACCTTTAAATTTATTTTTACATTCATTAAGTATAGAATCTGACCATTAGTTAATACAACTTTATTATTTTAAATAAATAAATAAAAGATCTAACGATGCTTTAATAAAGCTTGAAAATTAAAATGAAGCTTGATTTTGTTTTTACTTAAGAAATTCTCTTTTGCAACAGTTTTATTCCTTTTATTTATTTTTGATTAAGTTAAAGATTTTTGATCCACAATTTTTGAACATATGATTAATCGCGATACATTTTTATATCGCGATGTCTAACAGATGACGTATCACGATATGAAATTCATTATATGGCCCAGTTCTAGCCATGATACAGTGAAAGTTAACTGCAACCTCAATAATGCATTAAATTGACCAGTGTTTTCGTTTAAATTATATTAATGTATCACGTGATTAAGTCTAAGAAAGATTAAACTGTATATATTATAATTCAGATACCGGATTCAGTGAATTTGCAACACATAGTGGTTCAAGTTACTAATGGTCCAACTTGGAATCAATTTTTCTAACTGTGAAATATAGTTACATCTAATATATATAATTCTCTTACGTGGCTCCTAAATTTTGGCTGTATTTCTGCTCCGCCGGTGGAAACGTTTGCTTTGTTTTGTTTACGTTACTATTTCTCTTTCACGGCGAATCGACCAATGATTGCAGCTAAAAATGTCACATGCCAAATCTAGCTGAGGTGGCTCAACATATAGCGCTTTTAAAAGCGGAAACTGAAATAACCAGAGAGCATCAGCTGCGGCAGTCTCATACCATTAAACTAGGCAGAAGTGTGTAGTCTTTGACGATAGATCTCCATTTTAGCATTTTGTCGAAAGCGCTTTTTTTCACGAATTTATATATTACGAATTTATTTGACGATTTTTGATTTATATCACGAATTATACTATAGCACATTTCTAATAGGTTTAACGAATTACATGTCATTTATTTGAATTCAAATATATTTTAATGACTTAGTATTTACTAAAAAGATGTAATTTTTTTATAAAAAAAAGTTTTTATATGGATTTGAATGATTGTTTTAAATTCTTAGAACTTTGTGCATTTGCAATGTAGCTAAGTTAGTAGCGAGCGAAGCGAGCTTGTTTAGCGAAGCAAACCATATAAGATTGCGTAGCAATTTTTGGGGATTGACGAGCGTCGCGAGCAGGGGGAGCAGCCCACTAGTTAAACATATTCCTAATAAAATCGGCACGCATCTGCGAATGTTATGAAATATGTAAATTAAATTAAAGCTCTCTTTTTGGAAATTCTAAGATTAATTGTAAGATGGAAATTGTAATAACATTAGATAAAAATTCAAGTTCTAACAATATTATATCAAGTATATTTTTATTTCTATTTTGAAAATATAATAGTTGCATTAAGCATATACCTAATAGAATTAACACATACCTATAAAATACTATGAAACATGTATGGTTTTCTATGGCAACTTTGAGATTAATATAAAAAGTTAAACTCTGATATAAAAATTTAAGCTCGATTAATATTATATCAAGTCCATTATTATTTTCATTTTCAGAAGTATAATAGTTGCAATAAACCAGCTCTTTGGCACTTTTCAGATTAATATTAAAAGATAAGCTCCAGTAATATTATTTATAACGGTTAAAGCTCTTACAGTATTATTTCAAGTAATTTATTGCTTCGATTTTCAAAAATTAATACGATAGTACAAAGTATTTATTTTTTGCTTATTCATTTTAGTTAAAAAGAATTCTGTAAATGTCAGCAGTTATTGTCTTGAACAAGCTCTAACAATACTAATGACACACATAAGTCTTAAAAAATGTATATTTCCCATAAATCAAGAAGTTAATGATATCAATGAGTTTCCAAAAGCATAATTCTAATCATCCTGATAAGTAAAACCACCAAAACATAAAAGTGCAAGTCATATTTTCATGTGTCTCAATTTTATAGTTAAACTAGATTCGTATAAAATGTAATAACAATAACACCGCATTTTCTGTAAACTAGTCATTGTCTTAGGAAATTTTACGAGTGAATTTGAATATTCCAACGTTGCTGGTGTTATAAAATTAGGACGTAGCTACGTTGTAATTCCTCGCATTTTAAAAGGTATTGATGTTATATTTTACCACATTTAATTTGAAATGCTCATTTTTTCAAGCATTGAAAGTGAAAAAAAAAGATATTTTAAGCCTGTAATATTTTAGAGCTTTTAAATCATTTTAAGTTGAAATCGTTTAAAGGTGAGTAAAATTCTATAGTACTGTGTGATTATAATTTATAATTAGATTTAGTTCATGCAAAGTTTAAATTTCGTAGAGAAATTTTTTGAAAAAAACATTTTACCCAGATGGCAGTTTGTAATTTATTTTTTAAACGCTTCTATGTCTAAAAAATAATTTTGTTTATATGATTCAACTTAGGAATGAAATAAAAAAGAAATAAAAGTCCATGCACTTAAATTATTTTCTCAAATTCAAAGAATACTTTTTTTTTAAATATACGCAAGGTAACACACACATAATATTTTTTAGAAAAAAAAAAGGTCATTTTTTTAATAATTAAACAATTTAAAAAAGAATAGTTAAAAATAAAGAGGAATAATTAAAAAAAGGTGTTTATACTAGTAAAAGGTGTTAATACCAATAAATTAAATAATTAAAAAGGCGTTTTTCTTTAAATTCTTGAGAAATTTTTTGTAGCGCACATAAAAAAAGGGAGAAAAACTTGATATGTGTTTGAAAATAAAGGCATAGCTAAAGTTTGTAGCGAATTAAATACACATAGCTTAAATTATTTATTTCTGTGGTGGCGAGTGTCTTCAAAAAGCTTTAAAACAACATAGCAAAATTCCTAGAAGAACATGAGAAAACACACTTTTTTGCTCTTTTTTTAAAAAGAAATATCGCTGTAATAGAATCCCTGAGAAGGATCTCTCTTCTAAGAATATTAATTAAGATAAAGCACTTTTCAAACATTCGTACAGAAATTTTACTGCCAATTTTTTTAGTTTCTTGACGATCAGCTTGTTTCTTGTTATCAAAATATCTTTCTTAATATAATGAAATTCTTATTTTAATTAATACAAGCCAATATTTATTCCCCGTAAGCCCATCAAGATTTCAGCTAAAAAGTTCATGTGGATAAACTTATTCAAATATTATGTACCAATGCAGATTAATATCATTACCAATGCATATTTTTATGAGATCTGTAATAAAATTCGTATGCAGGATGTCCAATTAGGACCGTATCGGGTTTCTTAGCTTTCGAGCGATTTCAACTAGGTTTTTAAAAAAAGTGTTTGGATGTAGTAAAGTGGTTAATTTCGACAAGATCAATTTACGTAGAACTGTCATCTGGTCGAAATCGTATAAATGGCGTTCCTATCTTGTTTAACGCATGGGCAGCAGGAAATAGGGCGGAGTGTATTATTAAGTTATAGTCGGTAACTGATTTATTATCAATAAACAATATCGTAGACCTTAACACTATAGAGACACGGCTGGAAAGATAATAAAATGAGAGAACCAAAATAGCACCTCTAAAGTTTTGTTCTGTAATTCAAAAATTAATTCACAGAAAATATTCAGTAGTATAAAAGACTTTTCATTATTTGATCCAATTAAAGTCCAAGTTAAGTAATTAATCGCGTGTTAGTCTTACAGGAACGCATAGATGAGGCTTTATACACAGAATGATGGGAAGGTCCATTATTGTCCCTAATTTGCTTTCATTGTTACCTCTTAACCACGGGTAAGTTTGGTTGCAAAGTACCTTTCAGAAGTGTAAAAGATACCTCTTTTTCTTTCAAAAAGCAAGAGTGTTTCAACATATCTTCAATTGTTAGTTATAGAGAAAAGGAAACTCAATTATCTAAACGTATAGCTGAAAAGTCAGTACTCCGTTTAGACAAATATTTTCGCTAATCAAAGCGAATAAAATACCGTAGCATTTTGATGACCGAATCTCTAATTTATTTTTTAAATTAATTATGAATACGTTTTAAGACTTAGGTTTTTAAATGATCTAAGCATAAGCAATCTGGGAAGAACCAGACTGGCCTCTTTAAACATTCTAGGTATACATCAGTGTTCAGTCTTTCTAGTGTTGATAGAAAGAAAAAATGCTTAAAGCATGCATTTGTTTGTTAGGTACAACCTACAGTGTAACATGAGAAAACTATCTTAGGAAAAATAATATTAGTTATCACAAAGATACCTCTTTTTTTACGTTACCTTGCCTTCACTTTCATAAGTACAGCTGCAGCCATTTACAAGTTCAGAGAACGGATACAGCTTTTAGTAGATCCCCTTTACTTGATAAAAATAATAAAACATTTCATCAGAGATTTTTTCAGAATTTATTACAATAAAAGTCTTTTTATTTTCAGATGATCTGAGGAAAAAGGTTTTGAAGAATCTTTAAAAATGTTCTGGTGGAGCAGTAAATCCTATGCTCTGCCAAGTTTAGAACAAAAAAGTAACAACAGAACTTAGTAACAACAGAAAAAAACACGTTCAAAGTTTTCAAAGGATTACTGCTAGCAATAATTTCGGGATTATTGTACTCCTGTACAGCTGTAATAGTCAAATACGTCGATAATTTAGATCCTGGACAACTGTGCCTTTATCGCCATATCGCAATTTTAACTTTAAATCTTCCAGAAGTTATCAAATGTCGCCAAACAATCTTTTTACCAAAAAATTTCCGTGTGCTATTAATAATCAGAAGCATATGTTCGGCAACGCATTTATTGGTCAGTTATTATGCTTTTCGCCGATTACCACTGGCAGAAGCGAATGTGATTTTATTCAGCATCCCTGCCTTTGTAACTGTGGCAGCAAGGATTTTCCTAAGAGAACCATGTGGAATATTCCAATCGATATCTGTGCTCTTCACTGTAATTGGTTTAATTTTTACTGCCAAAATACCTAGTTACTTTTCAGGCTCACCTATTGTTCATTCAAAGGAATACATACATGGTCTTATATTTGCTTTCTCGGGAATCATCTTTGATACCGCTCAAATAATACTCTTAAGAAAAACGAAAGAAGTCCACCATGCAACTGTCTTATCCAATTTAGGTATCATAGCCATCATTGAACTCGCTTCTGTTACAGCCATCTTTGGTGATTTCAAGTGGAATATGTGTGGATGGCAGAATCTGTATATAATTATTCTCGGAATATTTAGTTACTTATCTCAAGCATTGCAGATCAGAGCTTTCCAGTGCGAATTTGCTGGCCCCGTCTCCAATGTCAGGGCTGGGTCAGATATAGGATTGTCCTTTATATGGCAGACATTTTTGTTTAAAGTGATTCCAGACACTTTCAGCATCATAGGAGCTTTGTTAGTTATGGTATCCATATTTTTTGTTGGAATTAGGAACTGGGTGTCCAGCCTACCGAATGATTCTCCAAAATTGAAGCTCTTAAAATGGATATTGAAGTAAATTTCAAGAAACTTGATGCCTAATACTTCTCTGGCTCACCTAGTGTTTATTCAAAGGAATATATATAT